AGAAGTTCAATGTGTTCTATTGATAAAAACTAAAGCATATTTTAAAATATCGTAATGTAAGCGTTTTGTTTGAATGCCATAAGGTAATTTTATAATTGAACAGTGTAATTTTATAATTGAACAAAGCAAAAATGTCATGGTGGCCTCATATCGCCCACCTGCCTATAAAGGCTCCACATGACAAGGGTAGATAGCTTTGAATATAACAAATAAAAAGCAAGTACATTTCATGTACTTGGTCAGAATATGGGTAACTGATATCAGTACTCAATTCTACGTCTGAAATGGTCATCACTATCCAAATATCTGTAAATGACAAAGATATGATAATTTAAGCAAAAATCAATAGTGACCTTGAGGTCAAGGTCATTTCAAGGTCAATATTATAGTTGAACTATTCAAGATGTCCTGTCATAAATGTATGAATGACATCTGATCATTGATAACAAAGAAATGGCAGTTTTATCCCAATTCAATAACTTAACTTTAAAAGATGTCTTTATTTTTATTATTCAAAGGCAAATTACTCTTGACATACTCAGTCGTTTTAGCTCATAAATGACCTTGATCGAGACCTTACTGTTATACATATTCTGTATAAAAAAATTAAGAATGGAGAAGAAACGAAAGCACTAACAAGGTGAAATATAGTGCGTTTTTTTTGTTGTTGTTTTTTGTTATATTTAGCCTATAATCTAACTTTGTTGAGATTTTATGGTCATAGATATTCTGAGATTGAAGAAGAAATGGAAACCTTGGAGTGGTAACAATGTGAAATACTTTATAACAGATAATGTAATTCAAGGGCAGATAACTCTGGACATATTGCTTGCTTGCTAGAGTGGTAACAAGCTAAATTTGGACGGACAGACAGACAGGCGCATACTCAGTTGAGCTAGAATTAACAGAAAATAACACCTGATAATAACTGGTCAAAATTAACGAAAATTATATAAACTTTAAAATATGGACATTATGCGGCAGGACCATGCCTTTTTGCCGCAAAATGTACGTCAGAAAAATGTGGACGATATGCGCCGCAAAACGTCCATATACGTACGTTTTGCGGTACGGACGTTTTGCGGTGTTACAGTGCTTAATTCAAGTGCAGTTCAAGACGATTTTTTTGTTGTTGTTTTTTTTTTAAATATAAGTGCATTGAGCAACATTTTTATACAAGGAAAGTTAAAATGAATCCACTGAGATTATGTGGAGATTTTGGGACTGGAAATATTTGTCCGAAATTTGTTTACCATTTCATGTATGTCTGGACCATTTACATTCCCTCATGAACGATTAATTTTACTTTGCAGAATACGAGGCACAAAGTATTTGTATTAGGAAAGTTTCGCACGTATTTTGCTTAGAAAGTGCAATACTCAACATCATTATACAAAGTGGGTTTAGCAAGCATTTCAATTAGTATGTGCAAGGTACAACGTTTTTGTATAAGAAAGATTTAGTACATATTTTGATTAGTTAGTGCAATGCTCAACATTCTTATAAAAGGGAAGTTTAGCTCGTATTTCAGTTAGGGCTTGTATTAGGGAAGTTTATAACCTACTTTGCTTAGAAAGTGCAATGCTCAATATTATTATACAAGGGGAGTTTAGCGCGTTTTTCAGTTAATTAGAGCAAGGTACAACGTATTTGTATGAGGGTAGTTTAGTATGTATTTAACTTAAAAAGTGCAATACTCAACATAATTATACAAGGGGAGTTTAGTACGTATTCTGATTAGTAAGTGCAATACTCAACAGTCTTATACACGGGGAGATTTGTATGTATTTTGTTTAGTAAGTGCAATACTCAACATTCTTGAACAAGGGAAGATTAGTGTGTATTTTGCTTAGTAAGTGCAATGCTCAACATTCTCATACAAGGGAAGTTTAATACGTATTCTTATTTCTAGTAGTTAAGTGCAATATCAAACATTTTTTTTATAGGGGAGATTAGTATGATTTGTTTAGTAAGTGCAATACTTCAACATTCTTAGTAGGGAGATTAGTATGTATTTTGTTTTAGTAAGTGCGATACTTTAAAACCATTCTTATAATAGGGGAGATTAGTGTGTATTTTGTTTAGAAAGTGCAATACTCAACATTATTATAATAGGGGAGATATGTATTTTGTTTAGTAAGGTGCAATACTCAATATTCTTATAATAGGGAGATTAGTATGTATTTTGTTTAGTAAGTGCAATACTCAACATTCTCATAAAAGGGGAGATAAGTATGTACTTTGTTTAGTAAGTGCAATACTCAACATTCTTATAATAGGGGAGATTAGTGTGTATTTTGTTTAGAAAGTGCAATACTCAACATTCTTATAATAGGGGAGATTAGTGTGTATTTTGTTTAGTAAGTGCAATACTCAACATTCTTATAAAAGGGGAAATTAGTGTGTATTTTGTTTAGTAAGTGCAATACTCAACATTCTTATAATAGGGGAGATTAGTATGTATTTTGTTTAGTAAGTGCAATACTCAACATTCTTATAATAGGGGAGATTAGTATGTATTTTGTTTAGTAAGTGCAATACTCAACATTCTTATAAAAGGGGAAATTAGTATGTATTTTGCTTAGTAAGTGCAATACTCAACATTCTTATAAAAGGGGAAATTAGTATGTATTTTGCTTAGTAAGTGCAATACTCAACATTCTTATAAAAGGGGAAATTAGTATGTATTTTGTTTAGTAAGTGCAATACTCAACATTCTTATAAAAGGGGAAATTAGTATGTATTTTGCTTAGTAAGTGCAATACTCAACATTCTTGAACAAGGGAAGATTAGTGTGTATTTTGCTTAGTAAGTGCAATTCTCAACATTCTCATAAAGGGGAAGTTTAATACGTATTCTTATTTCTAGTAGTAAGTGCAATATCAAACATTTTTTTTATACGAGGTGAGTTTAGTATGTATTAGTAATTTGCTTAGTAAGTGCGATACTTAACATTCTGATACAAGGGAAGTTTAGTTCGTATTTTGCTTAGTAAGTGCAATGCTCTACATTCTTTTACAAGAGGGGTGCACTATAGCAAGTGCAATGTTCAAGATTTTTATACAAGGGGTGCAATACTTTATTAAATTATACAGAGCGATGAAGTTCAGTACGTTTAAATGTGACGCACAAAGGAAGTTCAACACGTATTTCAAGTCGTTTATGCAATGTTCAACATTTGGAGTTCTATCGTTTTGGTAATATATGTACATGCTTATGGGCATGATTATTTTTTCAAAAGGAGTTAAGTATTTTGTAGTTTGCAAATCCAATCGTCAGCGTATTTAGTTCAAGGGTATATATCACTTAAAGTTTGCAAGTGCACATTTGTTAATGTAATTAGATAATGATATGTTCTACTTGTATTTTATTACATCAAGATGAACAAATTATATTATTAATTAAAGATAAATTAAGTACAAAGTCATTTCTTTGTTCATGAGTGCTATGGCTGGCGTCTTTTCTATAATGAAGATAATGTTTTATACAAGGTTATTTCTTCTAGTTTTGGGGCGTCATTGGTAGTGTGGTTAAAAAACCATTTAGTTCGAATCCCGCCAGGTTTCTTTTTATGTGGAGAAATTATCCAGCTAGTTTGCGAAACGTCGGTGGTTCCACTCAGGTGTCCGTTTGAGCCTTCAATAATACAACAGTTGGTCACCTGAGGTCTTCCTGACGTATTTCTTTTTATAAGAGAAACTTAGGACGACGGTACTACATTTTTTGGTTAACAAAAACATGAAAATACAAAATGCTATGGTATCGTGTTTCCAACCGTTCGCTTATCGTCTGGTTTGCATATTATTTATCAAAAGCGTCATTTTTTAATTTTCGCGTTACTGTATACATGTTGGTTATCTCGGTTTTTATACAAGGTTTACTGCCAGTTGGAGGTAGTCTGATTACATACAAGTTTTAGCAGGTGATACATCTGATTTTGAAAAGTACATACCCCCCCCCCCCCACACACACACACCTTGTAGAGTGGCGAAAAGTACATTTTCGCTTCACAGAGATTAGCGGTTATAGGTAGTTGTTTGTGTGTTTTTTTTCTTTTTGTTTTTTTTCCCGAAGCTGAATCATTTCTTAGTCATAAAACGTTAAGACACTGACATTTATCTTTATTTACGTTAAAGAGTTCCATATCTCCAAAATCTCCCAACATTTGCTTTGTTTTTAAAAATGTAATACGTTTCCCTGTAAAAAATGCAGACAAAAGGAAGTTGTAAAAATTCTGAAAACACAAAAATGAGATAATTGCTAGAATCTATATTCATCTTAGGTTGTCCAATGTGCAGAACATTTTAACATTGATTTTCAGCAGTCACTTCAAAATCAAATAAATAAATAAATAAATAAATGAACGAACGAACGAACGAACGAACGAACGAACGAACGAACGAACGAACGAATGAATGGACGAACGAACGAACAAACGAATGAATGAATGAATGAATGAACGAACGAACGAACGAACGAATAAATAAATGAATGAATGAATGAATGAATGAACGAACGAACGAACGAACGAACGAACGAACGAACGAACGAACGAACGAACGAATGAATGAATGGACGAACGAACGAACGAACACATGAATAAATCAGTTAGTCAGCCAGTCGAGGAATCAATCAGACAATCAATCAGACAATCAATCAGACAATCAATCAATCGTCGCTTCTAATGATATGTTAATATTAATGTTTCAAATAAAACATCGGTTAACGAATTTGTTTCATGCCACGTAGTAACTAGGAGGTTTCAAAAGTAGGCCAATTCTTTTCCATAAAATACACGATATTGTCCAGTTTCTTTATAGATTTTTTTTTTACCAGAACATTTTTTTCACCAGATGATACATGTGTTTTGTTTCTAGAAACAGCGTGGCAACACACGATAGGTCATAGAACTTTAGACATAATACTTGATTTATTATGAACATTTGTGTATCACTAAGTATACAGCATTTGGGAAAGTCTTTATCATTTCGAACTTTTTTTTGATATGTGTTCATTTTGTCAACATACAAAACATATATTTGTTTATATCGACTCTCAATATCAAATGCATTAATTGATCACATGTGTCCTGCTAATGTATATTTTAAAAGATATGCAAAGCGTTCCTCAAGTTTATTGCATGATAAGCTTTACTATTCACGAAGTTCAGGTTATAAATGAGAAAAGTAAACCGCAATGTTTATCATGTGATTTTTTAACATAAAACTCATAATTTTCTAAATTGTCTTATCACGAAGCCAGCTTACTTCAGCAGATCAAATTTCATGCAGAAATTTATTTCTTATTCGAAGTAGGTCAATCGAGCTTGACTAGTGGCACAAAGCGCATTAATATTCCAGAAAATGTAACGCGCTCTCTGATTGGCTAGACAATCTGTCAGTCAAATTCGAATATTTCATGGTACCTCACGGTATTTTTGCCATTAGCCGTGAAGGCTTTAATTTAGACCCTACTGTTAATCTGTGCTAGGAACCCGTTGTTGCTGATTGTAGCAGCACGGATCTTCCTGTGCTAAAGGCTCGATCTCGGGCCTTCGGATTCCCGAGTCGGCCATCTTATATGTGAAAACCCCTGTTTATTTGTCTTAAATGCAGAAGGAGTAAATACTTTATTAAAACAAAATGGCACCGGACAAAGTACGGTGGGCACTTTTTGTGTCTCTATGCACCGTAGTTGGATTAACACAGGCCCAAACTAATCTGCAAGGAGGTTCGTTGTTTTTTTTAACCGTTTGCATCTTAAAATTTAACCTATATAGAGATATTTGCGTATCATTCAATTCATTTTCCGGTTTAAAACTAATCTATCTGTTTTACGTACATTATATATAATTTTTTGATTTTTTTTCAAATAATCATATAACATTTCTTGAAATTAATTAATATGTCTTAAGATCTATATACCATCAAGTGTTCACTGTAGAATGCATAGACAAAATTCGTCATTATAATTTACATTGTACAATTTTGGTCGGATTATGTGAAATATTTATTGCTGTAAAATAGATGCTGAATTAACAACAATGTCAAAATGCGCAATTTCAATGTTTGGTGAATTACAACCAAAAGGAAAGATATTTCAATACATATAATAAAACATGCACGTTTTAATAGCTCTTAATAGTAAGTGCAAGGAAATGAAGGACGGTGAAGAGTTTTACCCAAAAAAGAATGATCGATGTTTAAAATGCGTCTGTAAGAACGGGAAGGCTAAATGCAAGAGTCCAAAGTGTAATAATAACCTAGACTGTGAAGTACATGATAGAATTATTCTGCTGGGGGAATGTTGCCCAATCTGCAGGAAAGAAATCCAGTCTGAGGCAGGTAAGAGTACACCAGTTTGCAGAAGGACACTTAGTTTATACTTACGAAAGATATTCCGAAAATTATTTAGGCTTCTAACTACGTAACAAGAAGGGGTTTCTCCGCGAATTCATTGAAAAGAAACATTCTGAAATCGGTAGAACACCGGAGTCCGTGTAAAGTATGCTATTTTTGGCGGGGCAAAAAAGGGAAAGGGCGCGTCATTTGTTGCCTAAAAATAAAACATCATTTAGTTACAATGAATATGGTTATAATGAACTTCAGGTTATCTCAAATGTATTATTTCTTATCCGATAGAAACAAAAAAAACATTAGAATAGTTATTTTTAACTATGGATACTTCGAACAAACTTCATACCTTTTAAGTTTGATATTATAAGTTGTTTTTTTTTTCATTATTTCAAATTTAATCTAAAGTCACGAACTTCTTTTTTATGTTAATTGGGTTTATTTTTTAGAACATCATATCGTGACATTTTAAAATCTGTCAATCCTGAGAAATCATGAATAAAGTAATGTGTCTTTCTGCAAAATTACAACATGGTTAGTGTTGCTCTAGTCGGAATTCGGAATCATATTTTCAATCGCAAAATCAGAACAATTATTTGGATATTTGTGTAGTGACTTGATTCCGGTCACGTGCTAACCTTGCGCCTGCGCACTAGAGTAGCATACTAACATGTCTGGTGTATTCTGCCTGTTTCAGAATAATTTGAGACATTTTTGATTCCTGTACACAGATTTTTATCTTTTAGCAAAACAATTGAGATTACAGTCTCTAACTTTTCTGAGATACACTTGGCAATCTATGAGCTCGGCATAGAAAGAAATGACTCAAATTTTGATATTTTGATAAAGTAACGAGTCATTTAAAAACTGACATGTTTGCATTATCATTTCATACATGTATTAATATAATATTAAACCCCAAACCTGCTGAATTTGTGTAAAGAATTTGCTTTGTTTTGAATTTAGAACAGTTCGTTGAAAGTAAAGGGTATATAGTGACGTCACATGAGAAAAATCAAAACGGCGTCAAATATTTACCAAAGCCGCGAGACTATTATGAATCATTGTTATCTAGTTCAAGTTAACTTGCCTACTGTAGCCAACTGATAATAATTCTTTGTGAGATATAATTCAAAAATGTTTATAAATCATACTTTATGCAACCCCCCACCCATTTTTACGTACATTGTATTTAGCTGTCGAAATTCTTTTGCAACTTCATCTAAGTTTATATGTTGGAAAATGAAATTTGCAAGATAATAAATCATAAATGTATCCTCTTTTACAGAACGTGGAGAAAACAGCTTTGAAGAGGCTAGACCACATGTGAGTCTCTAATTTATTCTTTATTTCCCTTTGATTCTAGTAGCATTCGTGGGTAGTCGGTAGTTTCCGTAAGCTGGGCGATTTTAATTCGTCAGAAATTTTCGCACTCATTACTTTTCGTAACAAAGTCAACACAAGAAGTTTCGTTGGTAATTTAGATGATGTAATAGTGCAAATATTTATACCCAGAAAATAGGCAAAATTGATGTAACTTTTCCTAACTATAGAGACTTCGTTTATATGTAAATAAAAACACTTTTTTTCCTGAGACCATACATCGTTGACTAAATTTATTAAAATATTTAAATCATAATTTGAGCCGCGTCACGACAAAACCAACATAGTGCGTTTGCGACCAGCATGGATCCAGACCAGCCTGCGCATCCACGCAGTCTGATCAGGATCCATGCTGTTCGCTTACCAACTCTATTACAAGTAAAGAAACTGATAGCGAACAGCATGGATCCTGATCAGACTGCGCGGATGCGCAGGCTGGTCTGGATCCATGCTGGTCGCAAACGCAGTACGTTGGTTTTGTCATAGCGCGGCTCATTTATCTTGTAACTGTATCGATAATGATTTTCTCTATTCCTTTCAGGCAAACGATCAGGTAAGACAAACTTTATAAAGAATTACTTTTTTATTTACCCTTTTCATCTTGAAAAATAACTTACCTAAATTGTTTTTAGAACGCCGTATGTTACTGCTGTTTTCATTGGTTAATCATACATTTTCATTTTTTAATGATGATAGTTATTTGTTCTTTAGTCATCATAGTTTTGTTATATTTTAAGTCTAAACATTTAACATGAAAGGTATTTTATTCGTAATCTTTATAACTATTTCGTAATGGTTCGGCACACATCGTCACTTTCCGTGTCTAACAATCATTTATCATTTATAAAGCATCCTGGCAAAAAGATAATAAAAATTTCTTCATGTTCACGCAGAAAAGGCGTAATATGCCGAAATTGAACAAAACTATGTATACAATACCTAAATCTTAGTAAGTGTCTCTATTATTACAGTATGCAAATGACCAGAAGGCATTTCCCCAATACCCAAGCCCAGCTATGGTAAGTACATTTTTATATTCTTTTCAGCGAGCATTATTCATGTATAAAAACATGTTTTTTTCAAACTTCTAATATCTGTAAAAAATTGACGTTTGTAAATGAAGGATTCATGAACAGAAAAAAGATAAATTATGCAATTCGTTTATAGTTCAGCATCATTTTTTTTTATTCATATAAGTGATTATGATGACAAATCAAGTGATACTTCTTGTGTATTTCTGTTTTCAGGGAGGCGTAGCTGGTGTGCCAGGGCCACGTGGTGCAGTAGGTGCCCCTGGTAACCCTGTAAGTTGAACGATTTTCTCGAGTGTTTCTTATTATTTTATAAGTAAGAAGTGAGCATTTTTAAATTATCATTCTGAAGTGAGATATATCCGATATTTCACTGACAACACACTTTTTCTTATATTTTGTGTCGTATTCTATAAAGTTTTTTTTCATTAAGTCAGAAATGTTACCATTTGGCGTCCATGGTGCTTATTGACTAGTATATGACGTCATAAAAACCTTTATGCGGTGCGCTGTATCTTTCATTCTTAAATTTTATATTTCACTCGATTTCTAACAATATGGTATGATTTATATCTCATCGATATATTTAAGATATCTGGTCAAAAATAATTGATAAAAGTTGTTTCCTGAAAACTTCAAAGTCAACTTGTTTTCAACCATTAGCCGTTGTCCTTATAAAAAGTATTTTTATACGATTAAAGCATACTATTTTCATTTCGAAAGACATTTTCTATATATTTCATCATTTGTTTTTACAAGGGGCCCCAGGGATTTCCTGGTGCACGTGGTGAAACTGGCGAGCCTGGTCAACCAGTAAGTATAACCAAACTATATAGAAGTTATTACGCCACACGATGCCATGACAATAAAAAAACTGCATTTTTCTGCATTTATTCTAAAATTCTTATCTCTATCACGTGATTTTACATTTTCTTTAAAAACCACGTGATTTTTTTTTTTAAAAAGAAAAGAAAAAAAGCACGTGATTTTGCATTTCTTAAAAAAAGAAGAATAAAAGAAAAAACACATGATTTTGCATTTCCTTTTAAAACCATAACATATTTTTTATCATTCATAAGATTATTTTAAGCAGATCAAATTTTATATTATTGTTAGGTGTCACTTCTTCCTTTAAATTGACATTTATGTGATACACAACCCCACAAAAACAGCTTTTTGTACATGTTTATCTATATTTGATTATTGTAAACTCACCATTCTTGTGTTTTAGGGATCACCAGGGCCCCGTGGATTACCAGGACCTCAAGGACCCCCAGGGCAGGATGTAAGATTTATTTTTTTTACATAACAACGTTTATAAATGTCATAAGTTGATTATTGGAAGAATATTATGGCTCGACCTACTTCTGTATAAGACGCACCTGCGTATAAGACGAAGCCATGTATAAGACGCACCTACACATAACCGGCGACTTATATATGGAACAAACTTATGAGGAACCTATTCATTATCTGAAATATTTATATATCATTGAATTTCAAATTTTCAAAAGTCGATGTTTATCAAATCTAATTTATCCTATTAAACAAGTGTGTTGATGTAATAGTTTTAACCAGCTATTCGCTAGGGCGTAGTATAAATAGAAATAGATTTTACTTAAGTTGTTAAGTTATTGTGACATTAAGCACTTTTGTAGTATAATGCTGATATACGTGCAATAATAATTAGTTGCGTATTATCTTTTACAGGGTGATGAAGGCATGATGGGTGAAAGCGGACCCCCAGGACCAACCGGTTCCCCTGTAAGATTTCAATGTTGTTTTTTTAAAAGCAATTTAGGCTTGAAAATTTGGAAAATTGAATAAAAATTTAGCAGTATTCAACAAACAGGTTTTTTTTTATATAACACTTCAATAACATTATCACACAGCATTTGATCCTTATAATAATCTTAGCCGGGTTCGGACTACTAATTTTATCTGCGCAAACCCAAAATTTGACCTAAGAAGAATACATCAACATGTTAAAATGAAATAAAAACTCGCACATATTATAGACACATTAAATACTACATTTATTATGACGTTTTCTCAATACATATGTGTTTTATTCTATTTTAGGGAGATGCCGGACGACCTGGAATTCCAGGTATGCCAGGACCAAAAGGACACAGGGTAAGCGATAGAACTTTTAAATCATTTTTACCTCTTTAATCTATGGTTTACTTTATTTATATTGCCAAGACAAAAATGCATTTACAATGTATTTACCCACTTTAACAAATCAATCTTTTATTGTGAATCAATAATTTTTGCGTGGCAAAATGACACGTGACGAATAAACACGCGACTCATATACGATAAATCATCACGTGACTTAAAATCCAAGTGGTTTGATAAAACGCGTCTCAAACACACTTGATCTTTGACACGTGACATCGTTTCACGTGGTTTGTTAAGCTTGATATTTTGTTTACATTTTTCTTTTGCTGTCTGCCTCTCAACCGAGGGATCATGGGTTCGAGCTCTAATTGGGTCAAGACCATGTTTCTTCATATGACACCAGTACTGGTTGGTTCCAGGAAGAGGACTCGGAAGTGATTAATATAAATCAAGAACTTGTTTCGCAATCAAGCTTAAAACATGTTTAAACTACATTTTTTCTTCTTCTTTAGGGAGCTCTTGGAAGACCAGGTGCACGCGGTATGGCAGGAAAAACCGGAGACAAGGTAAAATATTGTTCATTTTCTTAATGATATTCAGACGGTAATGCAAATGAATAAAACAGTGTTATTTCAGCACTTTAAATAGCGGTAAAAAACCCTTACTATTCCTGTAACAACATAATTATTCTTCAAAATTTAATATAATAGGCATCGTTTAAAATGATTTTGTTCATGAAATTCGTTTGGAAAACCTTTTAAAAATGAACCTGGTTTACTTTAAAATCCTAACAATGGAAGTACATGTTATAATTCACAGGGCGATGTTGGATCTACCGGACCACCAGGTGGTCCCGGACCCACTGGACCAGCCGGACAACCAGGAGATCGTGGACGTGATGGTGCCCCCGGATCACCCGTGAGTCTTTCAAAATCAATGAAATTGTCTTTTTAAGTAAGCGACGAATTACTGTTGCTTTTTGTTGAATAAAAAACACCTGATAGATTGATTATATGTATTGGTCAAATGTTAAGTTTAACACATTTACAAATACTTAAGACTAGTCCAAATTAGGATTAAACCGAAACATTTACTTTCCTTTTCTAAACCCTTTAACCCGGTGTGTTTTAACCATATGCTGATAGACAAAATACCTCGTAGGTAAATACGGACCTATGTGGCCATTAAAATATATAATGCATTATTATATATCGAAATAAAGATCTGGACATGATACATCTTGTTCATACGAGGCCTTATATTTTAGGGTCTAACTGGACTCGATGGCAAAGATGGTGAACGTGGAATGCCGGGAAATACAGGCCCACCAGGATCTCCAGGATTTCCAGGAGCATCCGGACCTAAGGTAAGAAACTAAACATATTGTATCAATTTACATTTACAGTTATAACTTTACTCGTGTATGAATTATCATAAAATATAAGAACTTGGTGAAATAAAAAAACGGCCATGGAATGATCTTAAATACTATGATTTACTCTTGATAGGGAGACAGTGGTCAACCAGGTAGCCGTGGTTTAATTGGTCTTCCCGGACCCGACGGACAGAATGGAAGTCCAGGACAACCCGGCGAGCCCGGACCCCCTGGATTACCCGGACAAGATGGCGAGCCCGGCGGAAAAGGAGACGTTGGTCCACCAGGCACCCCAGGCGCTACTGGATTCCCAGGCGCACAAGGTCCTCCTGGTCTTTCCGGATCTGCAGGTGCACCCGGTCCAAAAGGAGACGCTGTGAGTATCTGAAATTGTACCTATTCTGTAGTTTTTATACCTAATATCCTACATGTATTTTACTTATTAAAATATTTGAATTCAATTAATAAACGCAAATAACTTAGTTGAATATTTTCTTTACGGAAGAGTATTAGGAACATCATTTTAGATTTCCGAGACATACGACAACTAGTTAGATAATTTCAGCGTAGATAGATATAACCGGTGAAGAAGTAAATTTGTATCTTCATGTGCATACAGGGTCAAGATGGCCTTCCAGGATCCACTGGCGAGCAAGGATTGACCGGAAGTCCAGGATATCCAGGAGAACGTGGATTACCAGGCCTCGCAGGACAGCCAGGACAACGGGTGTGTATTTTTTTTCGTGCGATGCAATCTCTCTGTGTATGAGTTATCCGATTCTTACTTTACAGGCCAATAATCCTGTCCAGACATATTTTTTTTTTAATCTTACATCTTATATGTATATTTTTCAAATCTATATCAATAAGAGGGAAGAAAATTAAATCGTCAAATATAAGTGTCAGTAAGATAAGCATCCAAGTTTTGTTTATGTTAAATATTTTTTTGTTTTTATTATTATTTTTTTATGAAAAACATATGACATACATTGGTCAATAATTGTTATACCTACAAATACAGCATCTTGTGCAATGCGTTTGAAAATGTCAGTTCCGATATTTTTAAAATTGATAATTAAAATACCATTTCAGGGAGCCACTGGACAACAAGGACCTCCAGGCCCACCAGGAAATCAGGGAGAAATGGTAAGTTTTACAAAATCATGGTCAAAATATTTTGGAACTATTGATTTGTTTTCCTGTCACGACTAATGTCTTCAAATTTACTAGATTATGTGCAGAAAGATTCCTAATTTTAACTTCAATAATTCTTTGTTTGTCTTTGATTGGTTCATTTTGCATTAATACCCGGATGTCATCATTATATCCGGATGTCAACATCAGCGATTGATATGCCCGATCCACAGATCGGATCAGATAACCATATGTCTCACGATATCTTTCAATTTCTCACGATACCTAATGATATTTCACCATGCTTTACGATATCTCACGATACCTTCTTGGTTGATACACTCCTGTTAATATATATGATTTTTTCAAACATTGAAACAGTTTATATTTTCATATACGATATATACATAATTATATATGATAATGTTATCGATGGAATGTGTATATATTCAGGGATCCCCAGGTTTACAGGGTATGGCTGGTTCCCCAGGAAATCCTGGTTACCCCGGCAAAGAAGGGGAACGCGGACCCGAGGGAGAGAGAGGCGCCGAAGGATCACCAGTAAGTTAGTCGTGCAATCATAAGTTAGTCGTGCAGTCAAAATATATGTTTTAAATCCACCTAAAATGAAACAACACGTAAAGAAAACATCATTTAAGGTCAAAATTGTACACCCTGTTTTGAAAAAAACAACATTGTGATTCTATTCTTTCATTTAATGAAAAAACAACATCTTTTCTCAACCTGTTTGAATAGATCTCTTGCCAGTAGAGACCACCTTAACAGTTTCCGGATCATGATCCTTAAAAACAGGTCAGACTGTAATCATCTTTTACAAATTGAGTTAAACAATTTTTAGAAAATTTAGTAAGAAGTTAGAATATATTTTTATATTCAAACTTAAGTTGAACATTTTTGTAGAAAGATTTCGTACTTTGAAAAATCTGATTTATTTTTCGCGAAAGAAAATATACACACGCTTGAATGAAAAAGATAATTTATTCAGAACATGATTCATGCATGCATAGAAAATTCTTTATTCACACTTGAGTGGTACATTTCTTGAGACACGAAGATGTTTTTAAACATTTTGATATCTAGAAAAATAATGGAACCACGTCTTTGATTTTTGTGATATGTCTGAGACGTTTTTCCTTATTTCTCCATTAATAAAAATTCTGATCAAAATTAGTGGTCAACTTGAAGTACAATGTATTAATTATCTTTTGTCATAATAAATTGTTGCACGTGTCGCTCTCAGTGCATGGACGCACATGTTGCCCCGAGTGCACGGACATACATGTAGTTCTAATTACTTTATATGCCTGTTTAATCAAATGGTTTTAATCTATTTTTTCAGGGAGCACCAGGTTTAATGGGCCCCATCGGACCAACTGGACCAAGAGTATGTATCAAACATTCCGCTCTTATCTTTTGATACTTTTATACTTCCTTTCTTGAATAAGCTTTACAACTTTTACAAACCCTTCTCGACACATCCCAATGCTAAAGTGCTATGACAAACCAGTATCCGCTTGAAATGATTTAAGCGCAATGCCTATATAAATACTCTAAATAATTTGATACGAAACATTAAAAAAACTTTTCCGTTGGTTAGTTGTTAGAAGTTTTTTTAGTTTAATGTTTATTCAATAAAAGTAGTTTTTAAAGGAAAACGTAAAATATTTTGTAAATATATTGAAGATTTCCAATGGGTTTGCATGGAATGAAAAAATAAGTTTCACCATATATTTCTTTCAATATAGTTTTATTATCTTATTTTTAGGGCGTGTCAGGTCCATCAGGAAATGATGGTCGACCAGGACCCCCCGGACAAACAGTAAGAACTTTTTGTTTTATTCTGAATTCCTTAACCTTACAACTTCATATTTAATAATGGGTTTACTCCATTAAACTTTCGCCTAAAAAGCGACAATTTTGAAGCGAACATTTTGAACAAAAATAAGAGTTCGCTACAACAGACTTCATTAACGAGTTAAAATAATCTCCACGCAAAATTGTTACGCTATATAAGTTAAGTTAAGCATTGTTATTTTCTCATGTTTGCGTGTGTGTTTTATTTAAAGGGCCCAGCCGGAGAGAACGGTAAAGATGGCGAACAAGGAGCTCAAGGCCAACCCGGCCTGCCAGGTAGCGTTGGAATGCCAGGACCAAAGGGAGATGAAGTGAGTCATAAACATCTTCATTAAAAAACAAATTTGCTAAGATCAACAGAGACTTTTATTACTGTTATATAAAGATCCGTGAATTTATATAAAACTGAATGAAATTATTTTCCGTTCTGTAGCAAGATACGAAGATGCACGAATGGCAAAGTGGCGCCCTCTGTAGTGAATAAAAGCAGACTGCAAAATTAAGTCATTTATTTTACAAAACTAAATTACGAAATATTATTGCCTGTGGTTATCCCGATACGTTATAATGTTCAGTTACAAATGAATTGAAATGTATAATAATAATAATATCTTTATTTAAAGAAGGTTACACATAAAGAATATACAATAACAATCATATATATCTTATTTCCAATGTGGCCTTCTGAAATAGAAAACAACAACAACAACAACAACAGGACATGCATAGGTAGAAAAATGAATGTAGTGGTGAGGTTGCTGTAAAATGATTTTAGCAATTCGTTTTTGTAACTTACAAACATTATTTATGTTGTTTGTGTTTCCTTTACCCCATATAATACAACAATAGTCCATTATGCAATATATAACTTAACAACCAATTAATTAGTCATTCTAAAATTGTTAATCTGATTATTTTCTAGGGAGCCGCAGGACGACCTGGTGAAGCAGGACCACAGGGTAATCCGGGACCACGTGGAGAGAGAGGTTTCAGTGGTGAACAAGGAGCTGAAGGACCTGTCGGACCTGCTGTATGTATATTCCGAGTATCTAAAAAAATATTGTCAAGTGAACGTGGAAAACATTTTGGGAGAAAGTTTTGCATTAAAAATAAATATAACCCCCCCCCCAAAGTTTTCGCTGTTTGAATTCTATCATAAAATCAATGAAAGAAACAATTTAAAAAAATACCTCTAACCTTTGATTGTTTTTCTTTAAAGGGAAAAGGAACATGTATGTATTATTTCTAAAGAGTTGTGTTTTATTAACGAATATCATTATAAGTCTCAGAATATTCATTTATACAAGAATGCTTGTCTGCTCTGGTAGGGTGTGCAAAACAGTATCATAGATGTAATCATTTTTACATTTTATAAAACTTGTTATATACATGTGTGTGTACTTATTTTGTTCCTTTGTAGGGTCCAACTGGCGAGGTCGGTACCCCAGGAATACAGGGAGAGCCTGGAATTGCTGTAAGTTAGATAGAACGTTTGTTCATATCCCTGCGGCCAAGATTTCATTTTAACTCTTATTATGTTAAATATCTTAAATGGATGTGTCCATCTTTCAATCTTGACAAGACCACTCATTATTTGTAGTCGAATTTTTAATTTCATTTCTTCCACTCCTAAGCGAGCAATCGGGAAATGATTTTGAACCAAACTTTAAATTTAATTTATTTTAATTTAGTTTAGTTGAAAGGTATTGTTTTACCTCGATTCAGATGAAAGCTTGACACTTATTTGAACCATTCCAAAAGTCTGCATCCTGGTACTAAACCAGCACGTGTGTCTTTTGAAGAAACATGATCATGACCCAAGTGGGTCTCGATACCACGCTCCCTAGCTTGGAAGCAAAAAACCTCAATCACTTGGCCACCGCCTAGTTAAAAAGGTTTAGCGTTAACATGTTTGTGTCTGTCAAACTTCTTGATGTATATGTTCCAATGTTTGAGATTTTAGTTCTATTTTTAAACTATCATAACATATTTTTGTTTCAGGGACCTATTGGACCTCCTGGCCGACCTGGGGAAACCGGTAAAACCGGACCCAATGGTGAATCAGGCCCATCCGGAGAACCAGGAGCACCTGGTGAACGGGTAAGAAACAAGAGTGCATAAACTAATTAGTATAATGTACTATACTGCGTATTATTTTAGAAATAAATCTCCACAAACACGGTTAAGAAGAGAAAATGGCTTTGGTCAATTTGCCCCATTTACCAGTTTTTCGGATCTTTATTGCCATCTACCTTAGTATTATTTTTCTTATGGTTTTGACAGTTAATTTCGGAGACAAAATTGCTACGCGCTTTATAACCGATTTTTACTTTAGCTTATTTGAATTTTTAGACAAATATTTTATTAAAGCCATATATTAATAAAAAGTATTTGTTAACATAAAATGCTGTATTATTTTACTAGGGAGAGCCTGGTTTCCCTGGTGAGACAGGAAGCACAGGATCACGTGGCGCACCCGGTGAACGTGGACCGTCTGGACCCGCCGGAGAGATGGGACCACCTGTAAGTCTATCGTCTGTTGTTTTTTTTCTTGTAAACATAAAATTTTATTTTTTTCTAAATTAAATGATAGTATGGGATCAAAAATGATTTACATACTTCACGTTAGAAACATTGTTTCTAGAATATGAAAAAAAACAAGATCAACAAGGAACGCATCCCCCACTCGACCCAGCGGTAAGAAGGACACCAAACAAAAACAGGACAGGGCGTAAAGCGTACCCATATGCGATATTGTGCTCTATTCAATTATTCAATCACACTGCTTGCGAAGAAATCATATCCAGCATATGACATCCATGCCTCTGGAATATGTACACAGCAGTCAGATATAACGGATGTGCATTATGAACAAGTTTCCATAACGCGGCATTTGATTGGCTGGTCATGTGAACATAGATTCAAAATTGACCAATGGTCGACCTCAAACAGTTGTAATATAACTTTTTATTCGCAGGGACCTGAGGGACCATTTGGACCACGTGGCGAACCAGGACCACAGGGACTTGCTGTAAGTCAATCTTCTTCGCTCTTTACACAAGTTTAATAAAATGAATAAACTTGAAATAAACAAAAGGAAAGTTTGATTAGATCTACTTTGACAAATGAATTTCTTACTTTTCTTCATATGTGGAATATATATGTTTATGATATTTAGTTTTAATTATTTGAGTGTAGAATCATTTTAATAACGCTCATTTTCTGTAAAAAAAATCGCCTTTTTTGATAATGAAATTTTTTTAATAAAGACTATGTTTCAAATAATGATACATTGGTTTTTATTTCAGGGTCTCCCTGGAGAGTCTGGATTACCAGGACCCCCAGGGTCAAAGGGAAACCGAGTAAGTCCATTTTCTTTTTTCATTTCAGTAGATTAAAGAAACTTTAAAGTACATGTACATGTTATTTAAAAACATAAGAACATTTAAGTACACGGGATTTTTCTTTACACTGCAACAATGCAAATAGCATACGAAGGCAAATAACAATAAGGACAAATAAGGCTGTAATCTATAATGCTAAAAATAAGAAAAAAAGAAAGAAAGAAAAATACACACACTCACACACCACTGCGGTATACCGTACCCCGGATATTGCTCTATATTATGAGGACTTTCATCCCATTTCGCGACTTTGAACGAGGAAAGAAGGTTAGTTAAGTGACGATATTTAGTCATTTTGAATTGGTTTGATATAAATGTTATAGAAAAGCAAATACTTCGATAATTTCTCTAGTTACTGAAAACCCAGAAATGTTGAGAAATAGCTTTGAAATATAATTAGGAGGTAAAATTCGTCTCTTTGCTCACGAGACAAATGAGCTCGGATCAGTCAAATTTGATGTTTTCGTGCATATACTCCCTTAAAAGAAAAACTTGAATCGAGTGAAATGTGATAATGATGATAATGTTTATGTTGTCAATGCTCAATCAACAATAGAACCTCAGATGGAAGTGCAATTTGAGAATAAATACTCATCTCAGTGTACCGAGTATTGCGCTGGAGTTGCCCGCCGGTGTCACGAGTATTGCTTTTAGTGTAAGGAGTATTGGTTATCAATATAGAGTAAATGCAAATAGTAAACACTGAGTATTTACCACATTTAATCTTAAATATTTCTTATTGTGTATACTTATTTACACTATATGTGCAGAATATGCAGAGTTCGGAGGTACTTTACTGGAAACATCTGCGAATAATCCAGATTTTCATTCCTGCTCATGAAAAATCTCAGTCGAACGAACTCAGCAATTTTCTGTGTTTACAAAGTTCTCGTTGCTATCGAAGGATCAACCTTTCCAGAATTTGTTAATCTTACTTTAAATAGTAAAAAATGCATCCAAAGTGCATTAATGCTGCCTCAAAAGATTGTCAATATTAGACGGTATTGAGCAAGTATGCCAATATCTAATATCAACCGACTTCCTACTATGCCAAAAATCCATATAATGGTAACTTTCGACATTTTGCACCTGCACTCTAGCAACGGCACACTGTGACGTCTGCACTTGAAATTTGTTACGTCATTAGCAATGAGTTACCCTAGCTATGACTGCCGAACTGGTACAGCTAAAAAAATCGAGTAATGGATTTTGATAAGATTATGATAAAGGGCAGCAGATGTAATAAAAAGGTTATGTTCCTTATAACCTTTTACCTCATAAAGGCGTGTTTTGAAGGCTTTACACCCCACCCCTTTTGAGGCCTCAAATAGTGTAAAACATGCGCTATTTAGGCCCCAAACACTGTGTTTTCGTTTGAGAAATGTTGTTCAAAAGAGTGATCACTTTTTCGGCGCCACCCCCATTTAAAAGGTACATCAAGTGGGTGCCACAGGGGGATGTGCCCCCTTCTGTTTGGGGGTTTGAAGTGGGGCAGTAATCCCTCTAATCGCCGAGAAGACTTGAGACTTGTTGGGGTGAGGGGGAGCTAAAATGGCCTCAGGTCGATTTAAAGGTACCTTAAAATCAACGCCGAAAAGCCTAAGACTTTATCTCAATCAATTGAGAAGTTGCTGCACTTTGAAATCAGTTTTGACGGGAAAAAACAACTCAAAATAGAGATTTTTGGCAATTTTGAGACGTTCCCTCGTTGCCATGGTAACTGGAAATTTAAAATTGAGCATGCTATTCCACAGGCTATGGTCCAGCTATGGTTTGTGCTTCTTGAGACATGTATTTAAAGATTTTTATCGTCAATTTTAATGATTCTACCCTGCTCCCGACCCTGCTTCCGATCCTGCACACTCTTTATTTCATCCATAGTGTGATTTTCAATTAAATGGAAAATTAAATATCTGTATTTGCTCGTAGAAAAAGTACAGTAATAACACTGAATGCATTGTTGAATTTATAATATTTGAATTCATATCATATAAACAATACATTATCAGCAAAATAAAATGGAATCGATAAACAGACGTAAAATTTGGACAAAAATATCGATTTTCCATACTAATGTGCTCATTCTGTTTTGCAATACACTGTACACTAAAGTTGGGCTATTTTGCAATACTCTGTACACTTAAAATCAATACTCGGTACACTTTCTTGTATCTTTTTTGGCCTGTATCTTTTTGTACTTTCACACATTTTGCCTGAAATTTGAACAAAGTATACTTGGATTGTGAATAAAAAAATTGCTCGATTCAATTTTTTTTATATTTGTAATATAGTATTTTCTAGTGAGCAGCGGATCGTTTAGGGGTAGTTTAATCAATTTTTACAAACACCTGTAATACTTTTATGTCTTTTAGAGCTACAAAAATACCACTAGATATATAAAACCCGTTGAGATAAATAAAATAGCCATTAGTTTGAAAAATATCGTCGCTGAACTTACCTTCGTTCCCCGTTCAAAGTCGCGAAATGGGATGAAAGTCCTCATAATATCGAGCAATATCCGGGGTACGGTATACCGCAGTGCACACACAACGCAAGAATGATATTGTATTAACAGCTGTAATGAAAGAATAAGGTATCAATTAACTATTGAGTTGGAACCTTAATATGGTAAAATATTAATAATAACAACAACAACAACAGTCACCACTTTTATTACTCTAATAACTCTAAAATTAAATATCTGAAATTATATATTAAATTATGTACACATTGATTACAGGGTATGCCAGGAGAGCGTGGCGCGGATGGTAAACCTGGAGAAATGGGACAGACTGGACAAATCGGACCCCCAGGTCTCCCTGGCCCACAGAATACCATGGCCCCACCTAAAGGAGATCCCGGGGAGCCGGGTCAAGCTGGAGAACCCGGTGCACCAGGAGAGGGTGGTGTAATGGGATTTGCAGGCGCTGCTGGACAACCCGGTCCACCAGGACCAGGGGTATGTTTCATTTTATGTTTAATTTGACAATTGTGAAGAATTAAGATTTTTAAGGTGCATTTGCCACTTGCAGTTACTAATGCATATGTCGCTATCCTTTTTGATTTGTTTGATAATGGAAGGAAAATTCAAAATAAATTTTGTATACATATTCACATAAGTTAGAAATAACTACGTAAGTGCCATTTTTTTGTTGTCCTTTCTGTTAACTTTGTTATTCTATTGAAACATTGATTCACGTATAAATTAGTCTATAACCTAATCTGACAACTTGATGATAATACGTTAATTCCAGGGGCCCCCAGGATTCCCCGGAGAACCAGGAGAGGCTGGACCCGCAGGCCCTCGGGTAAGTCAAGTTTCATTGCTATGAATTTATTAATTACGAGTTTTAAAAGCAAGATATTCAAGACGAAGTCGTGTATTCTTTTATTCCGGAATAAATTTAATTAAATTTGAATCGCAAAACTATCGTAAAGTTAAACACATAATAATAATAATAATAATAATAATAATAATAATAATAATAATAATTATAATAATAATTATAATAATAATACATTTTTGTTATGATAATGATGATGATGATGATGATGATGATGATGATGTGACTATGATTATTATTTTAGGGCAACCGCGGACAACCGGGATACCCAGGAGAAAACGGACAAAGGGGTGAAACGGTATTTATATTTTTCATTGTTTTTCAATATTGACTTATTTAAGTTTTCATTATATACTAATTCATGTCTTCATATTTTTCATGTCTAAATAAAAACTTAGTCCCGTGATGCCACTTTTTATGCTTCACTATAATGGCGTGTTTAAATTCCTGTATAAGGTAACAACGATGTTTAATGTCCGGCAACTTTTTGTCTTTAAATAAGCCATGGTAACCTTAACAAAACAAGAACTAGTAGAAATTTACCACATTTTCATACATGTAGTTATTGATCCTCTCAAGAAATCAATCTTTTTTCTATGTAATTGTACATGCAGGGACAACCTGGTAGTGACGGACGTAAAGGCGGCCGTGGCCTCCCCGGACCAATTGGTTTAACTGGAACGCCAGGAACTCCCGGAAGGGTGGGAGCCCCGGGCGTTGACGGAGAACCAGGAGCTATGGGACCACCAGGAAACACCGGAGCTCCCGGTGCTCAGGTAAAATATTTAGTTATTATCTAACACTTTTTTTTAGAATTTAAACAAATTCAGCGAGTGTATTTTTAGACAAAACCGATTAGTAACTGACTAAACAATAAATGATCCCACTTTCACAACGGAAATACATATAAGCATTGCTGTAGGTGTTTTTATTTTGCATTCAAAAGTTACTTATTCATACCTTATTAACCAGGGTGACAGAGGAGAGGTTGGACCCCCCGGCCCTGCCGGTAAGGACGGTGCCCCTGGATTGAACGGACAAGATGGCGGAGTAGGTGAGAGAGGAAATACTGGCCCACAGGTAGGAAAACACAAATTTCATTAATTTAAATTCATTACACCACATTAAGATTTGTTTTCCTTTCATTTTCTGTCTATTCATTTAAATTTAAGAAGCTCAAATCACATGATATCATGGAGACTTTCTTTCTAGAAATATTCTGCATCAATGAAAAAAAAACACTGTCTTTTTGCTAAAATGCTTGTGTCTTTTTATATGAATAAACAAAAGAAATATTTTTTTTATTCAAAACTCATTTTCATTGATAAAATGTATGATTTTACACAGGTATCATTGACTTCATTCTCTAATGCTTGCTTTGTGTATTTCTAGGGATTAACAGGCGCTCCCGGTGTACCAGGACCACAGGGTGATCGCGGACAACCGGGGTACCCCGGACAACAGGGCGCACAGGGACCTCAAGGACCGTCAGGAGAACAAGTAAACACATAAAATAATATTATGAGCAAAAATCATAAAAAAAGCATGAGAATTTCATAGGAATGTACAAAAAGAACATAGTTTTAGGTTTAAGGATAGAAAACTGAGCATTTTGTCTAAATAACAGATTTTTAGGTCTAAAGTACAAAGCAGTAGATCTAAAGAACAGAGTTTCAGGTGTAAAGAGCAGGGCATTATGTCTAAAGAACAATGCATTATGTCTAAAAAACAGACCATAAGGCCTAAAGAACAGAGCATAATGTCTAATGAACCGGGCAGTATGCCTAAAGAGCAGACCATAAGGTCTAAAGAACTAAGGGACAATCTAATGCACGAAAGATTATTATACTGGTAAAAAAATTATACAACAAAATGCTATAACTGTAGAAAATTCGCTATCAGCTCGTGAAATTGCAGCATATTTCGTCACATCCTGTTTCATATAGAATTTTAATAATCCTCAGTTATATAGAACAAAGAAATAGAACGGAAAAGGGGCGAAGTTAACCGAATTCATACGATTATGAGGAGTTATGTTGATTGTCATAATATAAATTCTAATTTATCAGGGTGTGCCAGGAGAAGAAGGAAGAAACGGTGAGGATGGAGCACCAGGTTTACCCGGAGCCCCAGGACCCATGGGACTCCCTGGCGTTTCAGGCGATCAAGGACCACCAGTACGTGTTACTATTACACTGTAATCTTAAGACGATCTATATCAAATTCTTATGAACACGTATCATCAAAGCATGATTATTTGTTAGTTTAGTGTCCTATTTTAATTTACTTTTTTTGAGTTGACAAAAAAAGCCATCAACTTTGCTTCATTCTCACGTTCAATATTCCGTCCTTATATAAACAACCATGGAATATGTATCAATCGTAATGTACTTTCACGAATTCCGATTCTAACCAAAAGTATATACAATAAAAAATACAAAAATATTTAACAATAAATTATATTGAATATTATAATTTATATATTTTATTCGCATCACTTGCTAGGGACAACCCGGTCAAGACGGAGCGCCAGGACAACCTGGTCGCCCAGGTGACAAAGGAGACAGTGGACCTATGGGAACACCAGGAATGCAAGGCAACCCCGGACCAATGGTAAACTATCAAACTTTCCTTTGTTTTCTTTTCCTGATGCCCTCTCTTATAAAGAAGTATAGCTGAATTAGAATTACTCGACACGCAATCTGATTCAGATCTTTTTATGTTTAACGTTAAACGTAAAACCGCTGTGAAGTAACAGACTCTTTCTGGCTTTAATTAATCCACCATTTTGAAAATCTTGGACTGGTTCGGTAAGTTCGATTTCTATGCAAAGGCATCGACACGGCATCAACTTCTATTCAAAGGTTTCAATGAATAAAACATTGATATTTCTACGTCGACATGGCATTGATTTCTCGAAATTACAACGATTCCTTGACTAAGATTTCTTTGACTAAGATTTCTTGTCAAATGCATGTGATTTGATTTTTTCTTTCTATCTGCTATGATTATTTAAAAAAGAAAGGTATTATTACTTCTAGTGTTTTATTCTATACGGGTATGTTGTTATTCATAGTTCATGCTGGAATGTTATCAAATGTATTTATATTTTAGGGAGCACCCGGACCATCAGGAGAAACCGGCCAACAGGGAGAACGAGGAGAAAGGGTATGTAACGTATCAAGTATTTTAACTTTTTTTTGTATTTGTTTTAATAAATTACAGACCATGTTTTTATTATTTTATCTTTAAAGGACTTCTTTAAAATATAATTTAATCGATTTGTCTAAAATAAAGAATTTTTGACATACACAGAAAAGTGTAATAATAAAACATTGTTGAGTACAATACTGAATTCAATTTGACGAGTATACACCTGTCAAATCTATTTTGGACGAGGCACAAGACGAGTCTGATATAGGATTTGAAGCCGTGTACGAGTCCAATAGAATCAGTATTGTACTCGATCATGTTTAATGACCTCTTTATTTCACACCACCATATTTTGACATTTTGACAGAACTTTAGCTTTTTTAGACTCTGGAACTGAAAACGAGGCCAAATTGATAAGATTGGATCCAATAGTGATTTCTGTTGGAACATCACGTGGTTTAAATGAAAAGTGCATTGGCTGTTTTTTATAAGGTGTGAAATAAACTTTAATACTTATATTGTAATTGGTAGCATAATCATGGTATACAAATGCTCATTTTGACAATAAATTATAATTTCAGGGAGACCGTGGAACACCAGGACCTATGGGAGCCCCCGGAAGTCAGGGACCAGCAGTAAGTTAGCGTTATTTGTGATAAACTATGGTGTACATTACGTGCCATCATTTTTTGTTTGTTTTTCATTTATAGCGTGATCTGTTTAATTCAATCACTTTCGTGATAATTCTGATTCGGCAAAATTAAAGTTATATCTAGAAAAGGGAATAAAAACATTTTAAACATTAATATTTCATTTCCTTGTATAATAATATTACAATTTTAATAATAATATACATGTCTATATTATAACTATATATAGTTATAATAAGTGTGCGATTTTAGGAAGAAAGATAACTGCTTTTTGCACAAATTATTTCCGCACTGGTTTTAATATAGTTTTAATGAAAACATATAGAAAACATATAATTATAATGAAAGAAATCATTTTAAAAGAAATATACATGTATAAAATTGTACGCACACGCCCGCATCAAAGTTTGCGCACATTATCTGTCCCATTGAACATGTTCTTTCAAATGAACGACCCTGCATTGAATGATGTATTAGATTTAACTACAGACGTTTTAAAATGCATTCGTTTTAGGGAGCACCAGGCGCAAATGGTGAGAAAGGTGACAAAGGACAACGTGGACCAGCGGGAGACAAGGGATGGCCAGGTATACCCGGAGCTCAGGGACCACCCGGACCACCTGTAAGTTTTTTGTAATAGGCTCGATCAAAAAAGTAATTATCACCTTAAAAATGGCTGTTCTCAGATTGTATTTTTCTGGCAATGTGTTTGGGATTGATCACGTGACATGGTGTAGGCCATGTCACTTATTATACATGTATATTGATATACCATGTATTGTACCCTCTTGTGTTGCTATATGTAACTAGAGTTAATAAAGTATTGTTCTGTTCTGTACTGACAATAAAACTTCTTTTCTACTAAAGTTTCAAATTTCACTTGTATGCATGTTGAGTTGCCCAAAAATAAAAGTACCGATGATGAATTTTGGAAACTATTTTTAGGTAATTTCACACTCCAGTATATAGGAAAAACTGAAACAGACTATATTTACCGTATCCAATCACCTGGTTTCTGATTATATTATGCACATTACATTTCAGGGACCATCTGGAGATAGCGGACGACCAGGACCACCCGGTCCACCAGGACAACAGGTAGATAAACTTTTCCTTTTCTATGCAAGATTTTCAGTATACTTTGGACTGAAGAGACATTTTCTATGAAATAAACTTAAAAACATGTTTTCTACTGTTAATATAATTTTATTATAATCTATTTTTATATCATTTCAATCTGTTACACGGCATGTCCTTTAGGATAAAAATATATATAAGTTCAAAATTATTTTCATTTTATAGGGTAATGCAGGTGCACGTGGAAATAACGGAAAGGATGGACCAATGGGACCAGTCGGCGCACCAGGTCTTAGCGTAAGTATCACGTGATCATATTTACATGATAAAATACATGTAATCTTTAACTTCAGAAACTAGGACGTGTAACGCACGCAAATCAATTTCGAGACCGCTGACCATTTATAGTGTGTAGAAAGAAATCAAGTTCTTTTCACGGGTAGGATTCGAACCCAGGTTGTCACCCCATCTCTACTGCTATTCCCCTTCATATATTTTCGACTTAGTACGACTCAATGTTCGTATTACATATCTATCTCGTATCTATAGGTAATGAATAGTATAAGGACGGATAGTATTGTTTTCTTTTAGCATATTTAAATATAGATCCGCGTATCTTGCTGAAATATTGCAATGCGCATGAATATCGATTTTTATGGAATTTTTATGGAGAAAAAAATAATTCCATATAATATTGTCAATATATTGTCAATATGTTGTTTTTCTATATTTACAGGGACCTAGAGGACCCCAGGGACATGATGGACCTCAGGCAAGTTGTATTTAATAATTTTCTTGGTTAGGTAGCGTGACATTGTTGTATATTATATATCTAAAAAACAAGAGCTTTTCCCATACAGAACTTTTCATATGTCTGTACACATTGTGAATATTGTTTGATTACTAGTAACAATATAAGTATTGGTTCTTCAAACGATTTGCATCAATTGCAAGCATTTATCCGTAACGGAAGTAGAATTTGAAGTAAATTAAGTCCAAGGCTAAAAATAAATGGATAAATAAAGAGAACACTATGTAACACTTTTAAGTACGTTGTATACAGTTTGTCTTCGAAATAATATTTCTGCTATGTTCTCAATGCCAATGCATGAATACGAGACCACGGACACTTCCGGTATAGGTAAACGCGGAATGAACAACCATGACTATTTCCCGAAATGGTATTCATTTATCTCGTAAACAGGCTATAACATTGTGTATATTATAATATTAAATTATATGTTTGCCTTTGTTTCAATTTCAGGGACCATCAGGACCTCCCGGACCCCCTGGCCGACCAGGACCACCGGTATGTCTTCTTTTATTGCTTATTTCTTGCTACGCTACAGTTACCTATTTAACAGTGTTTATAATCTGTCAACATCTTTATTAATGTGACATGATTTGCTTATGATTGTGATATGATGTGAAATAATACGATACAATACGATTTGATATGATACAATACGATATGATACAATACAATACGATTTGATATGATAAATACATTATGATTTGATATGATGCAATATGATATGATACGATAGGATTTGATAAGTTGCATTGATATGACACAATATACTTCGATATGACATGATACAATACAATTTAATATGATACGATACAATACGATGTGTTATGATTTATCCGATATGATCTTTATAGAAATATGAAGTCTAATTGCATATTGGAACGAAAACATTCGGTACCAAAGTCAGATACATTGCAATTCTATATGTCAATGATTTACTGTGTTTTTACTTCAGGCATATGCCCCAGTTATGCCAAGCCAGCCATACGTAAACAATTACAAGGGACCAATGGGTGATGAATACGGATACCAGGTACATTGAATTCATGCTTCCGGTTTAAAAAAATCGAATTTCCGGTTTTTAATTTCAAGCGTTTCCGAAATTTTTTAGAATTTTCCATTTTGAAATCTCAAATAATGTGTCGAAATATTTTATTGTGAATTAAGTTTCGGTTTGTTTAATTGAAACGTTTTAATCATTCATATTTATTATTATGTATATATCCATATTTAGCTTCAATGTCGTTTCAGTTAAGAATAGTTATGATTTTTATATATGATTTCTACAAATAGATATAAATTGTTGAAGTCAAACTGAGTTGTTTTTTTTTCAGTATGACCAGCCACAAGCCGACCAAGCAATTCCAGAACCTGTAAGTCGTCTGCGTATTTCTACCTTTCTCACTTTCGTTTTACTAAGTTAAATAATAGTGTATTGTTTAGGCATATAAATTATTTTACTTAAATAGATATTTAAATGAGGGATTCGGGAATATGGTAAATTTAAAGCTGGATATTAGTATAAGGGGCTGGACTTCTGACGAGTATGAAAATAACAGTACATAAGTTGTCCAGATTTTTTTTCGTATATGTGACCAGCTAAGTAAATCAAACCAAAAATTGTTTTTATACTTTCCCTTCTCAATTTCCATTCAAACGGTGATTCTTCGTCACTTGGAAAAAGAGTCATGACCCTTGGAAGGAAAGTTTACGTTTTCATTGAAAATTCTTCCTTTATCGTGGTTAACTTTTAAATGTTTATTTTACACAAAAAAGAGCCCGGATATGTTGGTGAATCTGAACTACATGTTGAACGCCTTTGACTTGATGCGCCGACCAATTGGCACCAAAGAGGCTCCAGGCAGGTCTTGTGAACACATCCGTGAAATGAGCACACTCAAACTAGAGAACGGTATGTAATTAGAGTAATCATATTTTATAAAGAATTGTTGTGCTTGAACCAATGATTGCTTGGTTGAGAGACAGGCACCTTAACCATGAAGCCACATCTATGTTTTGTGTTGCTTACTTATTTACCTATTTATTTATTTATTTGTTTATTTTATTTTTTTTGCAAGTTTTAAATACGATTATAGTTGATTCAAATAATAAAAATATTTAATCAAGCGTTGTTACGTGATTTTTTTTAAATTTTTATCAACAAACTTTATTTGGTATAGTTTCTACTTCATTTTTATATGACTAATGGCTTTTCTTCAGGAAAATACTTCGTTGACCCACTCCCAGGTGCCTTCGAGCCATTCGAGGTTGAGTGCAAGTTCCACAGTGACTATGCAGAAACATGTGTTAAGAATGCAAACAAGGTAAATTTTGTTGAATTATTATGGTTGCATTGCCCACGCTTTTTATGATTTTTTTTTCCGAATTTCAATATCACTTGGGTGAACATTTCAACCCTTATCACGCTAAATATCTTTAATGGACTTGTCCATCTTTCAATCTAGACGAAACCATTCATCATTGTTAGGGAAAATTTCAAAAATATGTTCTTACTAAATAGTTAACAGTGCAGACGACAATCAGATGTCATATCCGGTTGATCTCTGCACGTGTCCCATTGGTAAATTCAGTTAGCACAGGAACAAATGCTTGTGTATTATCAGAGGGGAATAATTTTCTAGATTTTTGTTTTCAATGTAGGTACATTGTACTTTTTTATACAGAAACGAGGCGCTTTGTAAAAATGTGTATACAGGGTATATCCAAGCATATAAATGATATCAAAGAACATGTTTCTTTCAGTTCGGTGATAAGAAGTGGTTTGACCAGAAGATGTCATCTGTTTGGTTCGTAGAGCACACCACTGGAGATATGGTAAACAAATTTCCAAGCTAACGTTAAATTATTGGCCTATCTAACATACAGGTTCTGGCCTGGTCCTACCAGTGCTATAATATTCTTGGCCAATACCAATTATAGCTTTAACACTTTATAAATTATTGCACTCATACATCCAAATTTATTATTAATGTTATTATCAATGTCATTGTTTATGTTATTAGTATTGTTATTATTTATGTTATTTTTAATTTTATTATGTCATTATTTATGTTTTTTTTAATGTTATCATCTATGTTATTATTAATGATTATTATTAATGGTATTTTTAATGTTATTATCAATGTTATTGTTACTGTTTATGTTATTATTAATGTTATTATTAATGTAATTAATTATTTTTTATTATAAATGTTATTATTAATGTTATTATAGCTTGACTACACAATCAGAAGCAGCCAGATGGAAATGTTGCAACGTCAAAGCGATATCGCCACACAAGAAATCACATTCCATTGTTTCAACATGAAGACCAATGGATTCCAATTCTTCACTCACGATGAGAACTCAAATTACATTGATACGTCATCAACAAGGTATCTTGGCGCAACAAGAATTGAAAAGGACGAAGGATGTGACGTAAGTCGTCTGCTTCTTATATCGTATTTAATTTAGTTGTATTTTGTTTACGCTTTGCAAACATATCAATGATGAAACGTTTAGACAACCTTGTTGGTAATAACCATTGCCAAGATGAAAATTTAAAGTTAGTCTCGCAACAGCCTGGTCATGTTGCCCGGATGTGCAGACTGGTCATGCGCTACGCTTGTCGAAAAGGCTATTAAATGTATTTCGACTGCAATATGGTATGGGTTAAGAAAACTAGCTCTTCGTTTTCACTTTTTCATTTTTTGTATGGGTTTCTAAAGTCTATTAAGGTTTTTTTTAATGCTAGGTTTCCCGATTTAATTTATTTAAATGCAACTTGAGTTTCAATGAACAATTAAACGCAAATGAAAGTTAGGATAGGTAAAAGACATGACTGGTATAAGACGTGACGTGTTACTTCTTTTTTTATTTTTAAAATGAAGAATAAAAAGGACACGAAAATTACACTTTGTCATTTTTATCACTTGTTTAATGTTGGAATAATAATCTCTTTTCCAGAAGGGCAAATGGGGCAAATCATCTTACAAGATCACCACCAAGAGAACGCGGGTTCTTCCAGTGACAGACATGTTGGTTTATGACGTAGGTGATGACGAAGAATTCGGTGTGGATGTCGGTGAGGTCTGCTTCCGGCCAGAAGTCCGCAAATAAACATTGAAGTCCGCAAAATAAACTTTTAGGAATGATTTTTTTTTTCATTTTCTAAGATTTTTTCATTATTTTTTTACGGACATATGTGCAATTCTTTCTCTTCGAAACAAAGAAACGCCACGTGCAGATAACACTCATGGTATTTTGACTCATTTACAGCGAAAAGACATAAAAACCGAAAAGACATAGAAAAACGAAAAGTCATAAGTAAAAAGAATAAATTATGGCTCAATGTGAAGTTTTTACAATCAAATAAGGATTGCATAATTTGAATCCAAGCATATGACATAGATAAAAAACTGAGTGTGTTTTGATTTTTTTAACATAATAATTGTTTCAAAGAAATCTGTGATCTAAAAAATCTCGGTACTGTTAATGACGAGGGGTGTAGAAAAACCATCGTTTGGAGGTGCGCTATATTTTACGTAAGGAGGTATTTGGACATTTTGTAGCAAGAACTTGTGGAAATGACTTTGAAAACCTACCAGAAGTGTAAAATATGAAAAATCATGGTGAATAGTAGATGCTTATTAATTGAAAACGTTGCGAATTTGCCAGATTTGACCTTCCCGATATAAATCATGGCACTGTAAAGTCGGCGAATGTCATTTATGAGCAAATTCAATACAATACTTATATGTGATACATGTGACTATTATAGCAATATATGGTCACAGATTTGGCACTAAAATCATGGCAAATAACATCACTATAAAGTGCCGGAAGTGATTTTAATTGGAAATCAGGGCGAAATGGTAGATGTATCAGATGTTTGAAAAAGCCCGATCTATTCCGTCCATCTATGTTTTTTGTGTATTTGTTTGACGTTTTTTGATACATTTTTTTATTTGTGTTTTCGTTTACAGAGTGGTTTATGTATAAAACTGCTTTCGTGTCATTTTTTATCATTTGACTTCGTTTATTTTCTTTGTGTTTATTTTTGGTGCAATAAGATTGCGCATTGCCTTATTTCTGTCTAGACGGTGTCTACAAATTGGCACATTGGAATCTAGGGCATCAGATAGGCCTGGTTTTAAGAAAGCATTTGATATTAGTTTTACTTTGGGAGCCTGGGAAAAAGATAAAAGTGGGTAATATTATCTAAACAAAGTTAATTTTTAACACAAATTTTGATAAATGTCTAAATTATCACGTGATATTACCACGACCTGAACCACATGCGTTCATTAGTTTGATGAAAAACATCGGCTGGTTCTTTTTTAATCTAGATAACTTTCATGAGAATTTCTGCAGAGCTATTCTTAGAAAAGGGATGAAAGGAAATTAAAAACTTTTCGCTCAATTTAAAGCGCGTTTAATCCGGGGATCTTGAGTAATAGAATATCAAGGCATGGAACCAT